CCCTGCTCTGTGCATGACAGGGGGCAGCGCCCCAACTCCCCAATCGGCCCTGCTCTGAGCCCGACCAGGGGCTGCACCTAGGGATTGGGCCTGCCCTCTGCCACCTGGGAGCAGGCCTAAGCCAGCAGGTCATTATCTCCTGAGGGGTCCCAGACTGCGAGAGGGCACAGGCTGGGCTGAGGGACCCCTTCTCCCCGCCGAGTGCACAAATTTTTGTGCACCGGGCCTCTAGTATTATTATAAACAATTCATGCTTACTAAAATAAAATTTTAGAGAACTACCACTGTTTTAACTTAATCCCATTCTTTTATTACTGTGCAGATAAACATTTATACAAATTGCATCATACACAGCCTGTTTTTATTGAGGTTACATTTTTCCTCTACCTCCAGAAATCTCCAAACCATTTTGTTATCAGATCACCTTTGCACACAACCTATATATGTCCTTTTACAGCCTTTCCCATAACACAGAAAAATAAACACACAAATATACACGCACACAGTATCAGTATTTCTTGTCAAAAATAAAAGAGGCAAATATATTTCGCTGTTTTGCTTTTCCAACTTAACAATACAACTAGGCAATCCCTGTCAGACAAAGTGGAATAGGGTGTTAGAGTTGCATTTGAATCTATAACATGGGTGTTCCAAAAACTAGTTATATTGATGGGCATTTTATTTATTGCTTTTTGCCCTCTCAAACAATTCCACAATTAACATCCTTGCACATGTCTCCTACACTGCTTTCATTTCTATGGCAATAGATTCCCAATAAAGAATTTGCTCGATTGACAGGGATATTTCCTATACTTCTATTATGTATGTGTGTTTATATGTGTAATCAGTTTCCCTTCCAAAAAAATATTTACCAATTCATTTTTCTCCTGGCAGTGAATATAATTCCCCAACATTCCCCATCTTCAGTAAGTATTACATCATGACTTTAATTTTTGCCAGCTGATGAGTGTATTTTATATATATATATATATATATGTGTGTGTATATATATGTATATACACACACACACACATATATATACCATAGTTATATACATTATAAGATATAAAATATAAGAGAGTATATATATTACAGAATATATGTAATAGATTCACACTGCTTTTCCTTGACTATCACAAAGGTCAATATCTTTACATGTTTATTGGCTGTTTATATTTCTCTTCTGTGACTGTTTTTTATTCCATTTGCTATCGGGTTTTTGTCTTTTCCATTGTTGGTTTATAAAATCTTTTACCTAAAATGTTCCTTTCAAATATTTATAATCACTCGTTTTCCTATTGATTTTATGTGTTATCTTGTCATACAAATTTCAAAAATTCCTATATTTCCAAGTATCTACACTAATAAAAGAGAAACATGGTAATTGGCGTACGACCGCTACCCTTTTCATTGGCTAATCAGTGAGTATATGCAAATTAACTGTCAGCCAAGATGGCGGCCGGCAGCCAGGCACTGAAGCGAGCAGGGAGGCTTGCTTGCTGCAGACTCCAACGTTCCCCGCCTCACTTGCCAGCCTCTCAG